CAATAAGACAAAAGGCAAACAGATTAAAAAACAACAGTCACAACATTTCAAGTGGGGCTGGAAATCCATCAGCCCCAGGCCTGCTGGAACAACCAGGTCTTCGTGGCTTTGCGGAAATCCTGGAGGGTGGTGAGGGTCCAGATCTCCACAGGGAGATCGTTCCAGAGGGCTGGAGCAGCCACAGAGAAGGCCCTCCCCCGGGGATTTGCCAGTCAGCACTGGCTGGCAGATGGAATTCGGAGGAGGCCTAATCTGTGGGATCTAATCGGTCTTAGGGAGGTAATTGTTGGACCTCTTGCTAGAAACTGAAAGAAATGAAAATTTAACTTTGGGATGTGATGATTAGAACGGTTTATGAATAAGGGAAATACTGTGCTGATTTTAGAGTAAGATGTTAGTGCATTATTTTCTGCATTTTTACCAAAGAGAGTTGGAAAATATAGTTTTTCCCGCCTTTCATTTTCTTTTTTCTTTATTTTTGTTCTCTTGAGTTTGCTTTTCTCTTAACCTCTCTTTTCTTAACCTCCTCCTTTTTTGTCTTTTATCTTTTGTGAAATTTAATTTTTTTCCCTTTTAAATGAAATATTTCTGTGGGCCAAAGCAGCCAGGGTAGGTAAATCTAATATAAAACAAACACGTTTCCCTTTTTAATATTAAAATGAGTCATATGTTATGTTTTGGTTTAATGGCATAAACAGAGTTGAAGGAAAAGCAATTAACAGGAGGTTGACATACAGTGTTCAGCAGAATTAAACAAAGCGAAATTGTTCAAAGGGAAAAGGATATTGAAAAAGTGGGGCCCTGGAAAATCTTAATGGATTAATTCAGTAACCAGTTCAAAAGTGTGCAAATACTGAGATTGAAAAACAAGTCAGATTCCTTATAGCTCACCCAGATTGATTAGTAAATTTATTACTGATCTGTTGAACAAACTTATACTGCCTCTTCCTCTCTCAACAGGAACTCTGAAAGGCAAACAGAATAGAGGTAATCCTCAATTTAAGACCACAATTGATCCCAAAATTTCTTTTGCTAAATGAAACATTTGTTAAGTAAATTTTGCCCCATTTTATAATCTTTCTTGCTGCATTTGTTAAGTAAATCATTGCACCTGTTCAGTTAGTAACATGTTAAGTGAATCTGGCTTCCCCATTGACTTTGCTTGTCAGAAGGTCACAAAAAGGGACACTGTAATCATCAGTTGCCAGCATCTGATTTTTTTAAAAATACATTTATTTTACAATACAATTGTATCACAGCGGCCAGTTGTTTCGCCGGATTTGGCATTGGTTACTAGTCGGGCCCCACCCAGGGGCCTAGGACGTTGTAACGTATTNGAAGGAAGGAAGGAAGGAAGGAAAACCCCATAGGAAGCAGGAAAGGTCGGTAGCGTCCCCAGGGTCAGCCAAAAGGACTCCAATGCCTGTACCCCAACTGTTAAAGTCTGGGGAACAAACAGGGTGAACCTGAAGTATTAGGACCTGAAGGCAGATGTGATGTAGTTGCCATTATTGAAACTTGCGTTTAAAACTCATGACTGGAATGTACTTGAAGGAGTATATGAATCAAAGTAATATTGGCTATTTGCTTTTATTATAAATTGCTTAGGTTAATATATAATTCAGGGGTCCCCAAACTTGTCCGCTTTAAGACTTGTGGACTTCAACTCCAAGAATTCTGGGAGTTGAAGTCCACAAGTCTAAAAGTGGACAAGTTTGGAGATCCCTGATATAATTGTTAATGATTAAACCAATATTTGCTGTTTGCTTCTGACAAGCTGCAAGAAATCATTTATTAGGAATTAAGCTTTGTTATTGGCTCCTGCTTATATTATTGTACACTGTCAGAAAGTAATTGTTAGCAACTAATTCTAACTTAGTAAATTGTAACCTTAATACTGGTTGGTATAGTGCAGTTTGTTATCTCACTTCTGTTTTCTCACTTCTATTCTTGGCCTCAAAGTTAGGCACATCCTTGAAAATATAGAAGAAACTGTTACCCAGGAATATCAGGCCCCTTGTATAAAGGAACCAGAGTAGAGAGTTTTCCTGCCTCATAAATTCTGAATGCTGAAAGCATTCTGCTGAATAAACAACTTGGCCAGGTTGAGGTAGGGGTGGGGGACCACCTGTACACAAGGCTATAGGAATGCTCTATAGATAAGATGGACAGAAACGAGCCTGAACAAAGAACACTTTAAA